TCAAACTATTCTCCAAGGCACCTGAGGGCAGGACAAGAAGCAATGGGTGGAAACTAATCAAGGAGAGAAGCAACCTAGAACTAAGGAGGAATTTCCGACAAATGAGAACAATAAACCAGTTGAAGAGCTGGCCTTCAGAAGTTGAGGGTGCTCCATCTTTGGAGGTTTTTAAGAAAAGATTGGGCAGCCAACAGTCTGAAATGGTATAAGATCTCCTGCTTGAGCAGGGGTTGGACTAGAAGACCTCCGAGGTCCCTTCCAGTTCTTTTCTGATTGATTGCTTTGTAGAGAAAGCTTTTATCATTCCACTAGGAGTCACTGTTGCGGCATTAAAAATGTCCTTTTAATGGCAAGAATATTTTACCACCCATCATTCTATCCATAGCAAGCGTTTAGAAGGTCAGGTAGTCCTCAACCTATAACCACAACTGAGCCCAAATTTAGGTAATTAAGGGAGACATTTGTTAAATGAGTTTTGCCCCATTTTACGGCATTCCGTGCTATCGTTGCTAAGTGACTCACGGCAGTTGATCAGCTAGTAACCCGGTTGTTAAGTGAAACTGGCTTCCCCATTGACTTTGGTCTGTCAGAAGATTGCAAAGGGTTATCGCATGACCCCGGGGCGCTGCGACCGTAATAAATATGAACCAGTTGCCAATCATCTGAATTCTGATCACATGATCAGGGGGAGGCTGCAAAGATTGCAGCTGTGAAAAACAGTCATGTCCCTTTTTTCCAGTGCCGTAGTAACTTCAAACAGTCACTAAATGAACTGTTTTAAGTCAAGGACTACCTGTACAGTAGTAGAACTTCAAAACAGAGCCAGCACAATGAAAAAGGATATATTATTTTTCCCAGATCTTGACGATATTCTGGGCAAGACGTCCTAACACAGAAATCCTTGTTAAAAAATAAACTGGCATGTTAAGTACAATTCAGTGTCATCTTCCCCAAGTCTTTGCGTTGCCCAGGTTCGGGTCGATCCTGGAGCTCAGGACCCCGTACCGTACCCTGAGGTTTGGGGTAGCTGGTGAAGTATTTTAAGGGAGATTCGGTTTAATGTCAGGGTTCCAAATAGCATCCAAAAATAACTCGGAGTCCAAGGCAAAGGATTCCTCAAAGTTCCAATTTATGAAGAGAGACATGTTTGGCACATCTGGGGAACGCCGAATCTGAAAGCTTCCCGGTTTTCCCCACCCAGTTGAAAGTTCAAGATCTTGCCTCCCACACCCACAAGGCCATCCCATGGTCCAATCTCCCACTGCCA